CCATGGGAACTATAGAGCGTATTTCGATCTTACTCGAGAGCTGAGTGAAGTGCAGTTAATGATTATAGACGGAGAGACGAGGAGACATTACTGAATGCTTACCAGCGAACCATGCATGTAAGTCGGCCTTCATATCCTCATCAATCTTATCCATGATGGACTGATGCAATTCGACGGCTGCTCCAAAACTACCTGCTCGAAAGAGTGCATAACACAATTGCTGGTTCGCAATTTGCCACAGGGACTTGAGGTCCCAGCCAAATAACTGTGGAAAACACGCAGATGAGCACGAAAGAATTGTTGGTTGCATCATATCGGCGTACCACGACAAATCCATCGTATGTCAAATGAATTGGCGATTTATAGAAGAAATTGCTAGCATTGGCAGCGGCAGTGAAGTGTTCAACAGCTTCATTGTAGCGCGCGCCCTCCAATGCAATGTTTCCCAGTTGGACACGTAGGTAGGCCTGGTGTACGAAGGGCAAGAATGAATAGCGACACATGAACTTAGTGCGATTGAGCTCACTTCCACGATATGACAAACAATGAGATCGACATCGGGACATGCAGCTAGCTCGCGTATATGAAGCATTGCCTCTTGATGTTCATTTGCATTGAACAATGCAATGGCCTAAAAACAGTGAAACACGGAGTACGTTGGAAAGATATTACTTGCCTTGATCAAGAAAAGGAAGTGATCGGTCTTTAAATCTCGGTTCGTGAACATCGATGCCAGGTCAAATGGGATCCTTGCGGCCAGAACCTGCTTTTTTCCGCAGAGAGCAATGCCCTTGGAGATATGGCCTGCCAGAGACGGCTGAATGCTGACGGACTACGCCATTATCAAAGTTAACTTTTGTGAAGAGGTAATGATGGATCAGTCAGTCATACCTGAATTGCGTCTTGGAGTGCTTGGCCCCAGTTGCATTTTCGCGCCATAACAAATGCGCGATTGGCATAGGCGGTGTAATCCTTGGCATCAGCGTCAATGTCTAGATTTAGCACCTCTTCAGCGGTAGGCCAGTCCCCAGCTATGCATGCGTTGCGGACTGTCGAGTTCATAGCGAGGACCTGCGTACATCACGTTCACATTGCGTTATAAGAGTCGAAGGTGGGAACCTGCCTTGACAGAGTAGGCTTGAGCCTTGGCATAAAAAACATTAGATGGTAAATGGGCAGGAAAATGAAAACAAACGTACCTGGTGCGTCGCCTGCTCCTTCATGAGACCATCCCTTGAACCATCCTCTAACAAAGCGTCCTCGGATGTGGGCCATTCTGAGATCTTTTTATCAACACCTCCACTGAGGACGTGCCTGTCATCTGCGGAGAATGTGACGCAGTTCACGTCCCCAGAGTGCTTGAATATGGCAATGTTTCGTCGATCTGAGATTCGCCAGAGGCGGACACGATTGTCATGAGATGCGGAGGCAAGAAGGGTACCGCTAGAGTTCACAGAAATGGCGTGGATATTCTTGAAATGGCCTTTCCAGGGATCACCGACCTGCTCCCAGGTTGATGTATTCCACGCTCGTATGGTGGGATCTGCCCCGTTTCCCCCCGAGAAAAGCCGTGTGCCATCTGGCGTCCACGCGAGTGAGTAGTTGCCACCCTTCATCCGGAAATAGCAAGTGGAGTCACTGTAAATTTGAATAGCGTGGTCTGTTGCAATTGCGAGATATCCACATAGTGAATACCGAACACAGCGGACCTTTCCACCACAGTCGATTGAATATTGGGGCTTCTTCAAACTAAAACTGTTCCATGTGCTCCATGATTTGGTGGTGGTGTCAGATGATCCACTAGCCAGAGCATAATAGGAATTCGAAGAAAAATCAAGTGAAAATATCCAGCCGTCGTGAGCTTTATTGATCGTTTGGTGGAGTTCCCCAGTTCTTCCATGCCACGTGATGAGCTCTCCGCTCTCATCGCCACTTGCTATCCATTGCCCATCTTGTGAAACAGCCAATGCGCACACCCGACTGCGATGCCCCTCCATCTTCTTTAATACTACACCTGTTTTCAAGTCCCAAAGACGAAGCATCCCGTCATACGAGCCCGTGACCATGCGTTCCTCGTAGCTATATTGGGTATTGAAAACCGCGACTGCGACCACGCGATCCTCGTGATCTTCAAATGCTCGAATGGGTACGGTGTTTGGAATGAGCGCTGCCATTGTAGTGGAGCTGCAGCACAGTTGAGGTGGATCTAACGTGTGTGTGGGGATGACGTCTTACTCGAAGTTGCAGAGATGCGCGTGATGGGGTGTTTTAAACCTGCTTCATAGCATAACTCCTTCGCTAGACGCCCAAAACACGAGGCTATTATCACAATCACCTTGCTTGCCAATCTAAACAAATGGGCTCATGCGTCCAAGTCATGTTGCCGCAATTGTCCACATCAGTCAATGAGCCAGATCATAATTGATTCAGGAGTCCACGCGGCAGATAGGAAGAAGACTTACACGGTTCACCTGATTGGCCATGCCCCCGAATTTCGATAAAGTCATCACCCCACAATCACTGCAGAAACGAGAAAATAGTCGGACCCTAATCAGAGGGAGACAGCGCGTATAATACGACTCTAAACGTACCTAGCTTATAATCAGACAAAAATCCGACATGTCACAAATTTTGTTCGCTCGGTCTGAAGCAACATGAGTAAACAAACGCTTTTCCAACTTCGTTAACACATCTTTTCCGACCTCCGTTTATTCTCTTCAAATACATGCTATTCAACCACAAACCAGCCCCGGAAATCTAACCTTTCGACGTCTGTTTAAGTTGTACTTAAAGCAAAGTAGGTTTTTCAAAAATTTCTTTAAGTCCCGTGTTACAGCTTGTATTTACTACTTGCGCTATGGCAGCCTGCGATGCAATTAAGCTCGAGCTGCCCGTGGATGTGAAAACATTTAAATTCACTTTCGAGTGCAGAACACCAGGACCCGTAGTAAGTACCTTGCGCAAATAAACTGATGCCAACTAATTCTCTTTGCAGACTATTGAAATATCTATCCGAAAGCCTCTCCAGATGCTAAGCCCACAAGCAGGTACTGTCAAGGGTCCCGACATCAGCGGCATACACACCGAGGTGCCAGGAGCATTAAGCAATTGGTTGGGCGCTGTTGAGGCAGGTCCTCCAGTGGTGGATGATAGTGTGACCGAACCTGAGTCGGAGCTGGCTGCTGAAGATCTTGTGAGTTTTCTCGGTCATCTTCATTTGCATTACTGAATAGCACATCTTTTAGAAACATACTAGTGCTCAAGTGCTCGTTAGTACTGGGCCGCTAGTTGACGATAGCGAAACAGAACCAGAGTCAGAACCGGAGACTAAAGATGAGCCTGCCACACCAGCAGAATTTTATCGCTGGTACAACACGGTATGTAATAGATTATTTTCTATGTACTCTCCACTATTTGCTGACTTTGGCCTCAGAAAAAAAAAGAAAATCCCGCATTTGATGAATACTAGTAGCATAAGATAGACTTTTAGTTGTAAAGTAGGAGCGCGGTTTCTGTCATGAGACATCTGCGATGCATTCACGTGACCCCACTATATTGCAACGCGCGCAAGTTTCTGACTAGGTTGTCGCCAACATGCCTACTGTCTGCTGCCGCTGCAAAACAAACAACTGTCATGGAGCTCTCGTCCCAGCACACACTGCTCGTGCACATGAGCGTGCAGATCTACGCAACCGAACTACTTCTGAACAGGGTAACTTCAAGCGTGTCGGTGAATGCATCATCCTAGGTGCTTGTGAAGATGCTGGACCCGTTCTGCGAGGGTTCGCAGTTCCGTTACACGAAACTCCAGCTTCAATATCTCCAAACATTGAGTTTTACGACTTCCCTCCGGATTTGGATGACGCGCTGCTGGACACTGGGTTTCTTGAGCCTGAGGACCTTGGCTCTGTGAAACCAGGGGATCCATTGCCCTATCTTGGCCGCAACATTCGGAGTCCTGAGACCTTGCTTGCTGCCGTTGACCATTTCGACAGATACAATGCAGCTACAGCTGCTGGCTCGCGTCCTTTGACTCCCCATGATGCCCACAATCTCCCACCAGATCAAGAAGAGCATGAACTCCAATACCAGCTCCAGCAGGCCATAAAACACGCTGAAGAAAATCCAGATCTTGATCAGGACCTCGATCCTGATGCAAATCCTCTTGAAGACGTTGACGAGTACCAGGACATACTAGGCGAAGCTCAACCTGCTGAAGATGATCCCGATCCTTTCTTTATTGCAGATGGACTTTGTGCAGAAGACACAACCGATATCATGCATCTCCCAGGTCACCTTGTCTCAATATACACAGTCGTGTCATGGCTGCACCTACAGTTCCACCTCCCAAAAGTTGCATGCAACGCACTGCTGGCCATCTTCGCATGTATTCTACTCACCCTTTCACCCAATATCGAACCTCCATTTGTCACCCTGCAATCCAGCAATCGCGTACTCGGCGTCGACAAACCTATATATACTCTCCCCGTTTGTCCATCGTGTCGTAATGTGTTTCCACCTGCATGCTCCCCGCATTCTCATGATCAATGTACCTTGTGCAATGAGGACCTCTTCCTACCTGACAAGACTGCACGCGGCAACCAGCGCTCCCTCAAGTCACCACTCGTCAAATACCCTTACCTCCCGCTCTCAGATCAGATCAAGTCACTACTCAAAGTTCCGGGCCTCGAATCTCTCCTTGATGGCTGGCGTTCTAAGCCACGAGCTCCAAATCAGTACATTGATATATTCGACGGCAGTGTATTATTTAGATGAGCACGTGTTTTTATTTGCAGATACACCATGACACTGACTTACATCAACAGATCGCCATTTTGAACCTTCTACATAAAATGCCAGTTTCACAAGCTTCGCTCTCTCCCACCTGGATAGTGTGTCTGCAGAAAGATCCCCCCCAGAATCATAGGAAAGGATGTCAGAAGCAAAGTCAGTATCTATCATCGCAACGGCTCCTTTGTTCCCTGATTGAGTCTCATAGATCAACGCAGCTTGATGGCATGATTTTGTGATCTAACATCATGTAAGTGACTGACATCTGATCATTAAATGAGAGACTCACTGCTTGACGACGTGAATGCTGTCGCAATCTATCTTTGCGTTCCAGAGCTTTGGCTGCCTTATCGTCGTTGACCTGGTTGCTTGCTTGCTTATGAATGTTTCGAAAGTACGTTTTCACGCACTCGGTGATGATAGTGAGGTCATAGTCTTCATTAGCGATCTCATGCTTGGCGTTAGGATTCTCGCAGCGTGCCTAAACAGTGATGTGAGTCTTATTGATATCAATCAAATTGAATATTTTGTACCTTCTCATTTTCCCATACCAGGTTGACGATCTCCTTGATGTACAGTGCGTTGACATCATCATCAACGTTACCAAGCCAGTTCGGGTGCCAAACTATCTTGGTAGATACTGCCTCGTGAGGTTCCCCATTACCCAAAGGTTTGACAGCTCCCAACAGCTTTATGCGCTTTGATTTGCTGAGGCACGGATTAATATCACAAAGTTCAAAAAAGTAAGGGTGGATTATTGGCTGTACATGCATAGTAAGTCTATTGATCGTCGTGTAGTCTGGTTGATGAGCTTACTTTCAAGGCTGCATGTGAATTCGATATGTTTCTGTTGCCAACTTTTTTCCTGTTGCTGTTGGTCTTCAAGATCTCCTCGACGGCTTCTTCATTTACCTGAATGCATGCCTTGAGTGAGTCGTTTGATTGCTGAAGCTCATTATTGGAAAACAGCAGGTTCTGAGTGACGTCCTTCAGGTTTTGCACTTCAGATACAAGACGAGCTACAGTTGAATTCAAGGACGAGTGATCTACGGGGGTATCAAGATCATTATGAGGTGTGCCGCTATGATGTCCCATTTGACGCTGATGCATTGAATAGAATGATTGGTTGCCGTAGTTCTGGGGCTGAGTATAGCCATCCAATGGAGTCCCGTGCTGCGTCACTGGACCCACGGACTGTCCTCGAGATGACGGCTGGCTTCCAGTGAATGGTGTCAGAGTCTGACCTAGGTGCGATGTTCCTCCCTTAAACGACAAATTAGAGCTGATACCAATATTTCTCGTAGCCAGAAGACATACAGCATGCAGAGTCACTGCAGCTCGGTAGGGATACAGTGGAGCATCCTGCAGGTGCCGCTGAAAGGATCCAGGCGCAGGCTATATGATTACAAGTGAGTTTTTATCGAGTTGTGTTACTATTGGACTAATTACGGTTTGTGCAACAGGTCCATCCTGTTGTCCCCCCATCCCAGCACTAAAACATTCGTCACGCCGGGGCAAGCCATGGTTCGGAAGGCTGAGGGAGGAATCTCCAGGATTGAACTGGTTACTGTAAGGCTCCGGCTCAGTTCCATGGTGTATCGCTGGATTAAACTGGTTTTGCAGGTCATTGGGAGCCCTACTAGGCTGTCGCTGTCCATGTCCAGGATACATGGCGTTACTAGTGGGCAGCATTGAGCTGTGGGGAGGAAGCAAGAGAAAATCCAGAGCTGCATGGAGGATCCTAGGAAGCACGGGTAGCACATGTACAACATATGTATAATCAGATAATAATCAGACTTGTTTCCTATTCTATTCAGAAGTAAACTCGACGTGCAAATCCCTAAATTCCGATGTCGGATTAGACTATTGCGCACCTATGGAGAGCCCGTAAATCCTTTGTTTCCGGTGTCCAGTTTGTGTGCCGCAAATGTACCTTTCCTGATTCTAACTCTTGGCGAAACATCTATTTTCTTACATCGTGTTACTGTCCTGTTATAGGTTCTATTCCTTGTCTAATCTGGCCCGACTATTTTCTCGTTTCCGCAGTGAATGTAGTATTCCACCCGGTGACATGTTGAGTTTCTGTTCCATGGAACATTTTATAGCATAGATCCTACAGTCACGAGGCTTCCTTTCATCTCATCTGGTTGTTAGCATCACAGGTGTGTGCGATTGCCATTAGTATTGAAGATAATAATTTATGCAAAATTGTTTCAAACTGCATCAGGAAAAAAACCTTTGACTACAGGGTGCTATATAGTCATTATAGTACCTGTAGCCAGATTTGTCAAGTGTCTACTATGTGGAGCTATATAGCCACGCAGCGAACTGTGTAGTGCTACGGCCACTCCTGTAGCTCGTTGTAGCAACCAACTACAGGTGCTACAGAAAGCTATATGTGCTACAAATTACTATAGGGTGCTATAGGAATAGTGTTAGTATTTGCTCGTCCGAGCTACAGGTAGCTACACACTGCTACTGTAGCTCCCGCAATATAGATCAGGCCACTGACTGGAAATCAACAAAATCGAATCAATTAAGGTGCTATAGCACGTGAGCATGTATACAATCCTCGAGATACAGCCGCCTCAATCACCACCCCCTTCAGAATTCTCGTGCTTCTCGAGCCTCGTCTTCGTGCTCTCGAATAGCTTCATTGAAAACGTCATCTGTGAAGCTATCGATAGTCACTGCCGCCATAAATGGATCCACACCAGCGTGCATCCTTTTTATGAATGTCAGTTTGGATGATGAATGACATAAGTAATAAAAAAATACTGAGCAACGTCGAGAAGATTGACACCAATTTTACCGAGCAGTTTGTAAGCAGCAGTCCGCTCGTCGAACTGCTGCAGGGAGTTGAGATGGAGAAGGTAGACCGGGGAGTAAGCAACCGACGAAAATTTGATGTCCTCCTTTACTCCAGTCATCCACTCATCGATGCAGCATTCAATCTGTCAGACCTCAGTTGCAGTACGAACATCAGAATCACTGAATACACTCACTGCTGTGAGTATAAGCGCAATGGTTTGAACGGGTAAAGGATCGAAGTATTTAGCATATACTATACCCTCATCGCTTCGGTTTGCGAACCACATATCATTCACTGCCTCCTGGATTAATCCGGTCTTGTATATGCCACGTTTCATTTCCCAGTCCTTTTACTCCGCCAGTCAGACGTTGACTAATGATGGTAAAATTGAATTTAAACACGCACCTTAAAAACAAAACGCGATCCTTCCTTGAGAGACTCAGCCAGGTCACGGTTTTGCTTGATGGCGGGTATAGATCTGCTTGCACGGAAGCCAAAGAACGAGGCCGTCAGTATGCGCATCTTTGTTTTAAGCTCCCCGCGCACTTGTGATGTGCGCCTCGTCATTTATATGCAACATAAATAAAATCAAGTAGGGCAAGGACGCGGACACGAGACGTACCATTTTGACGAGAGAAGGGGTCAGTTGGATGGCTAGGGAGGTACCTCATACACCAAGAGAGGTTAAGCCTGCTCTTGATATTCAGTTTCCATTGGCGCCATATCGCCAAACTCCAGGACCCATCAAAACCTCGCAGACCTACCTGCGAACACTTGTCCTAGAGTGCTGGGATGCAGAGATTAGGCTTTGTGATGAGTCATGCAGAGCGCAGCTCTCAGAGCACATACAAGGTCCTGCTGCTCACCAAAATTTGGTGCGGGAGATGATAAAGGTGCGATGGAATGCTGAAAAAAAGCAGTGTGAGGAGTCACGCAAGGTTCAACTTTTGGAGCTCTTACTTGCAGCTCATGGCATTACTACCCTAGCTTAGTTGTCAGTTAGTTTTAGCCAAGTTAGTTTTAGTGTCAGTTAGTTTTAGTCAAGTGTCATTTGGAATAAGGGCGCACCGTGTGGGTCACCTTTATTTTCAATGATGTTCGGTGTAGAGAATCATGCCTCTCATGGCATGATATGGCAGTTTTCACCTAGGAGTATACAGCACGAACTTGCAGCATCATTCTGTGTGCTATCTGCAGTGATTCCTATATGATGCGCAGCTTTCCCACGCAACATGCGCGCGCCATTCCCGCACTTCGCGATGTATATGCACGCGCGCGTTCCCACGCTTGCGCGCCCTATAGCGCCAGCCATCCAGAAGCATTCATCCACTGTCCACCAAGCTCCCTAGTGCGTATATTTCTATTTCTCTCATTGCATATTATTCCATCTTTATTTTTATCATGGACTCTCACATATATATATTTTTACATACCTACTCGGTAGCGCTTCGGCTCCGCATGACCGCGCTTAGGCGCGCTATATAAGCGCCAGCAGTACATACTATTACTGAACTGAACTTTCACCTCCCATTTACCTAGTACTTACTACCTAGAAAGTCGCAGTAGAACTCTATTCATTAGCACATCACATCTCACATCTCTTATCTTGTTTTATATCATCACTTAAGCATAGTCTCTCATTTCTGCATACGCGCGCGCGCTTTCCCGCGCTTCGCGCTAATACGCGCGCGTGTTCCCGCGCCTTGCGCGCACCTGCGCTTTCTCACGCTTCACTTCTGCGCGTACCTCTAGATCTTCGCTGCACTCGCTTCCCCTATAGGGTCGAACGCACTTGCCATCTCAAGTATCGCAGACTAGGCAACGCACGACCTTACAACTTTTATAGATACAGTCTGGAGCTATCTTTGCTCCTCACAGTATTGTTGTTTCTACATTGGGTCAATCTCCATATTATGAACTGCATACGTGACAGTAGTTAGTCACTTGCAAGGGTCACATCGCTGCAAATGACTTTTGTGTTAGTCACAATTAGGGCTGGTATGAGGACTCACTTGAGGGTCGGCCTGGTCTAAACTCAAACTGGGCGCAGCAACAACCAGGTGCTGCGCCACAACTAGATCCGGGCACCAATGAGGCGAGTACCATAGGTAGATTGAAGATGCTTACATGTATGCCAGTCGAATGGCGGTAGGTCATGGAACTTCGAATATAGTCCGAGTCCGATTTTTGTCTCCGCAAGTCCAATGGAACTTCGAATATAGTCTGAGTCCGATTTTGGTCTCCACAAGTCCAAGAAGAAGGACCTTCTGGAATGCGGTTTGTGTATGCCAGTCGAATGGCGGTAGGTCATGGAACTTCGAATATAGTCCGATTTCATGGAACTTCGAATATAGTCCGAGTCCAATTTTGGTCGCAGTTTGTGTCGAATGGCGGGAGGTCATGGAACTTCGAATATAATCTGATTGAAGGAGTCGACCTTCTGGAATGCGGTTTGAGCCTGGACAGGATAGTGTTAGCGTGTTTTTTCCATTTTTGTGGCGTCAAGATACTTAGGGCCGGTACAACACGACTTGACACAAGTTTCGTGTCAATCGCACCGTCAATCGCACCAGACAAGCCAGCATGCCCCACTGTGTATTCTGTGGGAAGGTAACAACTACACATGAGGGTCTCAAGAGACACATTGTAGGGCGTCTTGAATGTCGAATGCAGTATGAATCAATGATCGAAGAAGTAGAGGCAGAGAACTTAGACGACGCACCAGATGTTGACTTCCCCCATCAAGATGCAGCTCCAGGCCATGTTCACCCGCGCCCGTCTCCAGATATGGACGATAACCCAGCGCTCAGCAAGACTCGTCGTGTTACAGTCGAGGAAGTCGAAGATGAAGATGGGATGTCGTTCACCAATAACGGCCGATATTTTGAACCTCGGACAGATGCTGGCTGGGCACTGCATGAGGGGGAGACGAGTTTTGCAAAATATAGAACATACCAAGAGGAAGAGGGTGAGGATCCATGGTCGCCTTTTGAGGACAAGTAAGTGCTCGAATGCGCTGGCAAAGCATCTACTAAATAGATATCACTCACCAGGGAAGAGTGGGATCTGGCCCACTGGCTCGTCAAGAACCTTGGTCAGACGCGGACCAAAGAATTCCTGAAACTGCCCATAGTAAGTTTGAAAGTGTTGATCAAAATTTGAACCTACAATATTGATACCCTAGTAACCAGACACAAAACCGCAGCAAACTTTCATTTCATAACAACCGCTCATTCTTGCAGCGCGTGGATAAACTTCCACGCGGGCCAGGATGGACTTGTAAAAAGGTGACTGTGCGTGGAAACTGCGAGGATGATAAAGGCGAAATGTTGCAAGAAGACGTTGAATTGTGGAGCCGGGACCCTGTAGAATGCGTGAAAGAGCTCATTGGCAATCCGGCCTTCAAAGAACATATGGCGTACTCACCTGCCAAAGCATATGCAGACCGTGCGGGGCAACATAGAGTCATCGACGAGATGTGGACAGCAGACTGGTGGGGCGAGAAACAGGTAAGACTATTTGAGAGGGAGTGACAAAGCAACAGACTGACCTCGCACACAGAATGCCTTGCCAGAGGGTGCAACGATAGCACCAATCATTCTATCTTCAGACAAAACGTCATTGTCGCAGTTCCGAGGGGATAAGTCGGCATGGCCAGTGTACATGTCCATTGGAAACATCGCTAAAGCAAAAAGGCGCCAAGCATCAGCACGAGCAACCGTTCTCATTGGTTACTTACCAGCTAGCAAACTTGACTGTTTCACCCCCGATGCACGCTCCTTGGCTGGATACCGCCTCTTCCACCATTGCATGGCTCTACTGCTCCAACCTCTCATCGGTGCTGGAAACGACGGTGTCG